TTATCGAACGAAATTAACGAGCCGAACACGAGCTGTTCGCGAACAACGAGCCGTTTTGACAGCCCTACACCAAACAATTGTTGTCTTCATACATGGGCGTTAGGCGGGTCAGTCTTGATTTCGGGCTTTGAGTTTGTCAAAGCGGGCTCGAGCAAGGTTTAGGCCTGGTTTCTATATATAAATATATATATATATATATAGTGAATACTAGCTACTTCACATAAAAAAACATAGAGCAGAATAAACTACCTCGGGAATGCTGCAAGACTGATGGACTCCGTAGTATCTAAACTTCTAATAAAACATAATAATAACAATACTAAATAAATAAATAAATAAGAACTGATAACAGAAGCACCAAAAAAAAAAAAAAACCAATCAAATGGCAGGAGCCCTAACCTCCAAAGAGGCCATGGTAATAAACCTCATAGAAGTGTTTATTTTTTACAAAGAGAAAAAATAAAAAGCTTACATAACGTAGTTCAAGGTCATGATAGCAAGCTACTCTTAGTTATGTTTCTCCATTTGTCCTTCAGATCAACCTGTCAAAAAAAAAATATATTAAAAAAAATGATTCCAAAAAAAAACATGAGAATTCTATATATAACACTGACAAACAACTACCTCAGTTCTTTCTTCAAAAATGTTAGGGTAGTTACTCAGAATTTGTTTCCAGCTCCCTTTACCATGCCTATCATAAAAAGGAAAGCAGATCACAAAAGGAACATCTCAATACTGCAGATGAAGATTTGTAAGAGATGAACCAATAGAATCCAAACTAAAAAAAGCTAAAATAGGAAAATTTACACACAAATCTTTAAGCATTTATATATCTAACCCCAAAACTTGATATTTATATATCTAACACTATAGTATCATCATCACCTCATTAAAAGGTGTATTCCACTTTAAGAGAATGGTATTAGTGGCGTTTTTAATGGAATGTTAAAAAATTGAATGTTAATATAAATAAATATAAAATTTTGATGTTAGATATGTAAATACAAAAGAATTATGTTTCACATCCTATTTTTTGTGGGTCATTCAGCCATGAGTGTTTTATCTCCAACTACAAAGTTTTCATTTCAGAGTCCAACACATTCCGGTATACGAGTTTTAAAAAAAAAAAAAAAAAAAAAAAGGACGAGGCATGTACATAAATACCACCCAAATCGCATTTATTTACATATCTAAGACCTCAAATTTGCTTTTCACAATTATACCATGCAAATCTCTTCTATCACATAAAAATACCACTATTTTAACTTTTAAAGGCTGAAATACACCTTGCATGCATATGTTTGGAGGCATATATATAAAAATTGAAGTTTAGGTGTTAGACAAGCAAATCCATAACAATTGAGTGGTATATGTTATTCTTCCGAAAATGAATTATATGACAAGTATTTAAATTTCAGAGCGGTAATAAAGTAAAAATAAATACATACTCTCTCACCGCCTTTATCAAAGTCTCTTCCTCCAATAAAGTCCACTTCCTTATTTTTCTCCGTTTAGCATATCTTCTATCATCAATCAACTTCAAAGGCGAAACAATTTCCCTTTTTGGGCTACGCAGACGAAATCTTCCTTCCCGAGGTGGTGACTCCATCCACTATAAAAACAGGGAACTTCAAATTTAGAATATTTGTCAATAAAGTTGCAGATTAGCAACTAAAATGTTTCTTAAACAGCAATTTAGTAATTTATATTTGTCAATAGTTATCAACTTGTAATGATTAGAAGAATCAATTCAAGATAGGGGTCTTTAGTTCAAATCCGACTTAAAAAAGACAATATATAATTTATAAGGACCAAATTCATTTATTAGACAGATTAAAAATTTCAGCTCAAATTCGACTTAATGAAACCCGTACCTGACACAAAAATCATTTAAGCAGTGTTGTGTTAGTGTCAACCGACCAAGAATGTACATGATTAAAAATTTAAACACAACAATTTAAATTTTTTAAAAAATTTAATATGAAAATTTAGTGAAAAAAAAAAAGATAAATGAATTGATAAGTCGATCTTATTGAATTGACTAGAACCTGGCCCTATTTTTGAAGTCGCTACGCTGAACCTGCCTGAATCTCAAACACCTTAACGCGAACATAAAATTTTGGTGTCGGTTTCATCACGAGGTTGAGTTGGATCAAATATTGACACCCCTAACTAATAATTTATATATGAAATAAAACTCTAAAAAAAAGTTAGTATTACTTATCTATAGGTGAGTGCACATATCAAATATTGACACCCTTAAATGTAATAATTAGGTGTTCCAGAAACTGTAGAAACTGGCAGCTGCAGAATCCAATTCAAAAAATTCTCAGTTGCAAAAGGTAACGCTACATTAAGATTAATATTTAAATAACTTAGAGGGCGTCGAGCTTAATTCTCAATCGGATCAATAATTTTGGAACCACAATATAACTTTAAACTTGAGAGTGAAATGAACGAGTCAACTACATATTCGAGTTAAATTTTAATTTTGATAATTACTTTCATTCTCATCTTTCACGAATCAAATGAAACACTAATAATGAACGCACAAAAAACAAAAGAAAAAATAAAAAAGCTCAGAACCATCAATGTCACTTAGTATTGGACTAGAGGAAAAAAATCAAACAAAAGGTATAAAAAAAACAAATTTGACAGGTATCAAATTCTCTTCGTTTACATAAATGGTAATTAGTCTTTACTAGAGATACGGAGTGATGTTCTTTTTAACAGAAATGCATTTGTCGAATTTACAATCAATTTCAACATTTTGATATTATCTCATCAAAAGATAGGATTGTTAGTAATGCTAGAACTGCATATTTGGTGTAAACCTCGAGAAATAGATAGTAATGCTAGGTTAGAGGGAAATCCAATTCTTCTCCTAGAGTTTTAATCTACATCATTAAGCAAGTGAAATGACCAATAATCTTAATACTAGAATTACCTACAAAACATTGCTTACTCTCCAAGACATGAGATTTACATCAACAAAGAACAAAATAGCTTGAAGTAGACTTTAATTCTTCAATAGATCCAACATAGCAACAAAATAAGTTTCAATACATAAATATCATACTTTTACTATATTATACCTTTATTTGAAAATTTATTAATATATTTTAAAATTCTAATAGAAACATCACAATATTTCACCTTTGAGTTTTGCAGGAGTTGACTCACCATACTAACAACAAAGGTTATTTCTATTGAATATAGTAAGATAAACAAGCATGCCAACTAGACATTACTAGTTAGAAGCATAGTATTTATTAATGCTGAATAAAGCATCATAACACAAGCCACCGAGAAGCCATATCACAGGGCATGGCGGCAGCACACCAATTTAAACATGACGCAAAATATTAAAAAATTATGAATAAAAATGCCAAAAAAGGAAACTATTAAACTGAAATGCATGACATTATGATAATGAAATAGCAGAAAAAAAAAACCTTTAGTATAAATGCTCAACAGTCAAGACCTCGGCCGTTTTTAAAATTAAAAATCATACAACTTTTTTTTAAGCATAATGTTTTCATAAGATGTTAATTAATTATCCAAAGAAGTATCATCATATGTAACAAAAAAAAATCTTATTTCCATCATGAGCATCATCGTTATCTCCTAAATCATATTCTTCTTAATCACCCTCATCGTATTTCAGTTGTAATAATGTTAAGCCTAGGTGAAAATCCATTCTATTTGCACTTAGATGCTCTCGAATATTATAGTTTCTTTCATAAACACTGGCTGGTTTTATGATAATTTTCCATGTTAAAGTTTTCTTCACCAATAAAATGTTAACTATCTTCATCTAAATGATCCTTCATTTTTCCTGTTAACTACACATTATATCTACATCATTTAAAGATATGGAGTCCATAACATCACAATGGTTATATATGCAAAGTAAGCCCTATTATACTTTACATAAACTAAATTTCTAAGGCAGCATGATTCCTTTTTTACTTCTTCTGAAGTTGCAATTAAAAATTATTAAAATCAGTAAAATATAAAGTTTCATGATAATAATCAACACACGATTTCTATTTCATACTTATATATGTCCAGATATACTCAAATTACGCTCACATCTAGATGAGCCACAAGTTAGGTTAAGCACCTTAATCACAAAACTTTGTTAAATATGTAGCTCTTTGGTCATATGTAGCCGCCAATCAGTTGGAAAGTATTTAATAATTTTCAGTATTATTTTAATTTCAATACAATATTTAATACTAACTACAATCTTATTGAGATCAAATTACCTGATACTCGAGTGATTATTTATCTTATAGCTAAAGGAATTCCAAATATCATTCACCCCTAATATACAAACTTAATTGATTGCTCATGTTATCGTCTTCATCGACATCCTTAGCTAATCTTCCAGTGCATGCATATAATCCATCAACTATTTCTTTTTCTTTTGCAATATTAGGGTTAATGAAAAAATGTTCAGAATTTAAGAAATGTACAGTTGTGTGCAAAGGTCGATGAAATTGTACTTCCCATCTTCTATCAATAATTTCAAAAATCTGCTCATACTTATCACAGTTAGTAGAGCTAACAATAAGGCTTCTGTAGCCCTATCCATCGCTTCATATATATAACCCATAAGAGGCCATTTTTCTCCATCAACAAATCTAAGGACCTTCAACAAAAGACCACTAATTTTGAGCCCTTATACCACAGTGTTCCAAAAAATTGATTCAAGAAAAGTTTGTTGTCCTTGCTTAGCCGTAGCCACTCCCTTCACTATGAACCCAACATAAACTCTTCACATGTGAACATTCTTTTCAAATGTATTTACTGTTGATGAAAACATTTTTATGTTAAGAAGCCAGTAGCAAATCAAGACTTCGTAGGCTTCACAAGCAAGCTTTGATTTGTACATCTCCTCATTAAGTAGAGCAATTGAGGTATTGAATAAATGAAATTATGTATAGCTACCATATACTAAAAATGATGTTTTAATCTTTGAATTTTGAAGATGTCCTCCATTATTAAATTCAAATAATGAGCAGCACAAAAAGTTCAATATAAATGTGGATAATTATCCATAAATAATTTTCCTACAATAATATCACAAAATATTCAACAAATTATAATTGGCATGTGCCAAAAAAATTAAAACCAACAAGAAACATTCACACAAGCATTATCATTGATTACTTGAACAATACAATGTGGCCCAATGTCCTCGATAAACCTTTTTAACTATTCAAACATCTACAACACATTTTTTGAATAAGAACTATCATCAATTAACTCTATGAATGTGAGTCATGTAGAACAACAACGACAACAAGCCTTTGTCCCACTAAGTAGGGTCGGCTAAATAAACCCTTTTTTCTCTATTGTGTCCTATTGTGTGTCATATTTTTGTATAATTCTAAATTTTGATCATTGTTTAAAAAACATGCCCAAGTCTTTTTAGGTCCACCTTTACCTTTTTTAACAAATGTCAAATTCAAAACATATACTCTTCTAACAGGGTTATCAGATGGTCGACATTTAATGTGAACAAACCATTTGCGACAACTCTCGATGATCTTGTATGTTGTTGTAGCTACGCCAACTCTTTCGAGGATATATTTGTTTCGCATTGTCTCTAAGTGTAAAGCCACTCATTCACTTGAGCATTCTCATCTCAGCAACACGACTTAATTTATGCTTCACTTTTACAGGCTAACATTCTACACCATAAAGATTTGTATATCCCACCACAATCTTATAATACATTCCATTAAGTTTAAGCTATACTTTTCAATGACACAATAGGACCGACACATTCCTCCGCTTCAACCATCCAACCTGAATTCTACTAATAACATCCACATCCATATCAACATTACTTTGAACAATAGACATGAGATATCTAAAACACTCACTCATTTTAATGACTTGACCACCAATGTTTACAACCTCACCACTTGATCTAGCATTACTAAAATTACATTTCATGTCTTCAGTTTTAGAATAACTCAAACGAAGGTCTTTAGATTCTAGACCTCCATAGATCAAGTTTTTCTTGAACTCTCTCTAGTCTTATCCACAAGAAGAATACCATCAATGAAAAGCATGCACCAAGGTACATCCTCCTGTAAATGTCCAGTACGAACATTCATGACTAAAGCAATAAAAGATATGCGCTTAAAGCCGATTCCTGATGTAATCCAATTGAAATAGAAACATACTTGATCAATCCTCCTTATGCTCGAACACAAATAACAACTCCAGCATACGTTATCTTTAATAACTTGAATATAAAAAATATCAATACCTTTCTTCTCTAGAACTCTCCAAAGTACTTTTCTTAGAGACTATCATAAGCTTTTTCTAAAACAACAAAAACCATATGTAGATCCTCCTTACTCTCAACTTCACCATCAAAACTCTCTATAAATATATAGCTTTCATAGTAAACGTGACAGAAATGAATCCAAACTAGTTTTGAGAAAATTTTGAACGCTATAACCCATGTTAAATAATTCTCTCTAATAACCTTAATGTATGACACATTAACTTAAATAGAAACCAATAGTCTTTCTCCACTTTTCATACATTTTTTTAATTTTTAAATAATATTAAAAAGTTTAGTAAGCT